TATGAATAGTTTTCCCCATTTTGATACCTCTTTCTCATATTTTAACAGTTTCAGTGGACATCAACTTGATATACTTACCACATGCCGCTCTGGAAAACATCTGCTCTTACCTTGAACAGTGTAAGAACACCAATAAGCTAAAACTAAAAAAACTAAATTATTTCTATTATCTTATAAACATCTCATTTTCTGTTAAGATAGAAAATATTGACCTCTGTTGCATACCGAGTACTACATAACAGGTAAGGGTCCAGTACCCTAGGCTATTGATATGGTCTATTCGGTACTACAGGACAGATAAGAGATCAGTACCCTAGGCTATTGATACAGTCTACCGAGTACTGCAAGACAGGTAAATGACTAGTACCATAGGCTATTGATACGGTATACTTTGTAATACAAGACACGTAAGAGACCAGTACTCTAGGCTCTTGATACGGTCTACCGAGTACTACAGTACATGTAAGATATCAGTATCCTAGGCTATCGATACGGTCTACTAAGCACTACAAGATAGGTAAGAGACTAGTGCCCTAGGCTAGTTTTATGGTAAGGATTACTCTAGAAGAAGTATTAGACCAGTATAGGGTATTATCGTAACTGTGTAACCTGATATCCAAGTAAAAGGGCAGTATTTCTTCTTTTTTCTGATTATGAAGTCTTTAATTAACTTGTGGTTCCAAGTTTAATGCTTTTTTTAATAACACATCTTTAAAAGGATTCTTTGGAAGGATTGTCAGGTGACTGAGGGTCTGTCGGTTGATTTTGATGGAACACCTTACATTAACAAGGTGGATGGTTAAGGAGTGTCATCAAGGGCCTGATCGACAAAGAAAAGCAAAGGGAAAGAGGAAACGCAGAAAAGTTTGAAAAAAAGAATATTCTTATCATATTAAGAAATTACAGATTTTATGCTCGCTATTAAAAATAAAATACCATTTTTAAGGACAAATCTCTAAATTTGTGTCTCATTAAAATATCCAATTACAAGTTAATTTAGTTTAAAAATTTTTATACCTAAAAGATATTACAGTGCTGCTATCCCACAAGTTGACATGGGATGGGATCGGATAGGATTGAGGATTGAGGATTCACGATAGAAACAGATAGAAGTTAATCCAATCCTATCCTATCCTATCCTATCCTATCCTGTATCCTACAGCCAATCAGATTCGAGCGAAGGTTCATTCATATTTTTGAATAAATAACAAAAACGAAATACGATATAAAATGTTTACAAAAGAAATATTTATAAAATTTCAATAGAAAATAAAACATTTTTTCCTCAAAACACAGATTTACATTATAAACTTCGAGTAACACGGCGTACGATCTAACCGTGAACGATCACCGGAAGATTTGACATCGAAAGACCGTATTTCTTCAGCTTGTTTGGATGATTTAACCGATTCTCACTTGTGTAAAAGTGTTCTAACATGTTTTCTGTTAAATATGCTCTGCTTATTTCGATAATTCCACAGGAACCGTCTACAGCGGACTTGAATGATGTGCGAGTTCATGTAAGTATACTACACACTGTACACTGTACATGTTTGCATTTTTATACTTATTTATCCCTCAAAACAATGCTCTCGAGTCTAAAAATAAAAACATTTTATTCTATTTGATATAAATAAAGATTAAGCGCGGTAAAAAAGAAGTAGTGTAGACAGAAGGGGCAATAAATAATTACAAATACCCCCCTTTAGGCTTTACTCTGCAGGTCCAGCACAATACCCCGGTAAAGGTATATAGCTTGATAAAGCTATATAGCTTTATCAAGGTATTTAAATACCTTGATCAAGGTATTTTATGCAATGAAAATTCAAAAAAAGATTGTTGGAATACCTGGTCTCCAAAAACCACATAGATATTGTCAATCAGAAACTCAAGCATCTTCTTGATGTCAACTTCAGAGTACTTATGTGTGCAATCAGAATCTGTTTTAACAAAATAATTTTTCAAATGACCGATGACGAGGTAAGTAAACTTACGAGTTCCATTTTTGTTGAAGAAGCAGCTGACAATGATATTAAAAAGCCTGGATTTTAATTTGTCGTGCGGAATTGTTGTGTATAAAGTTGAAAAATCGTAAGTTTTTATGCTGTTGATTTTTGTAAGGTCTTGTGATTTCAAATTGTCCAAAAGTTCTTTAGAATTTTTAAGTATCCACATCTGATTTACACCACTTCTTGAATATATAGTTGTACAGTACTCTTGAAGTTTTTCCTTCACTACTGTCAATATTTTAATGAGAAGTATCGAAAGAGGCTTGGTTGAACATTTACTGGAACATGCAATGTATCTTTGTTTGTAAGGATTCTTATGAAGTTTCGGAATCCAATATATATAAGGTAGTTCAAATTCATATTGGCTCTGTGGAATATTAAAAGTATTCAAAACTGACAGGTGATTTTGAAGAATTTCTTCCTTAGAAAGGATCAAATTAATAAAAAAATATGCCTGAATTCCATTACTAGTATATTTTAACTCTGATGATCAATGAAACTTTCATCATAACAACTACATCAATCATGATTTCATTTTACCCCATGTACCAATATTTTGGTTTGGGAGAATAAATTGAACTTGAAGATAATAATATTAAAAATCTTAACTATAGTATAGGTGTGTCACATAAAGAGCTTAATCCACAATGTGCCATATTCGGCCTAGCAAATTAGGCAATTTTAAACACAGCTTCAGAATAAATTTGTTGGTATAATTTTAATTTATAACATTTACCAAATTAATTTCTGCAGTAGTCCTCTCTCACCGGATGTTTATTAAAGCAAACTAATTGCCCGAACCTAACACAGTTTTAGGATTTCCGGGAAAATGTCGCTGTTTTACCCACTTCAGTATTAAAATTCACATAGAGCACATTCGTTACGGTTTAATTTTCTTTCAAAAAAATAAACTACAATATTAAATCAATATTTCTGATAAAAAAAAATATTTAATCGTAAACAATGTGACCAAACCGAAAAAAAATATTATAATATATGCGCGGCAACTTCAAAAGTATCGTCTGGAAGCTGGATTCCAAGAAAAAAAAATCATGTGATAATCGGAAACATATTTAACCTTCGAAGCAGTGATATTACTAGATATTTTCTACAGAAAGGTGAGTGTTTTATGTTTTTTAAATGTATATGAGTCAATTGTTAAAAAGAATAGTAGCTCTTAGGCCTGATTAAACTCATTGAAACGAATATTGGAAATCAAGGGCCCTATAGATACATGTACGTTCAACAGTTTAAGATACTGTACCTTTAACCTTACATGTAACGCCACAGACAGAAAAACAGTAAAAACCTAAATTTTCATATTTAATTTTACTTAAAATTAGATCTTGAAAAACACATTAAATTGGCAAAGTGTATTTACTTGGAACCTGTATGCCTATAAGTTAAACACCTTTCACATGTAGGTCGGTACATCAGTAGGCCTACATGAATGTTACGCAAAAGATGCGAGTTTCCAAATATGATCAGTGTACACGCAATATTCCTACATACGGCATTGTATTTACACCTGTTCAGAAAACGCTAATTTTGATATGGCAAAAACAAAACAGTATACATATAAGTAGTCAAGTACTCGAATATTTACACAAGAGAGTCCGCAAGATCACACCGACGGTCGATTTACCTATTTATAATATTTTTGCATAATTAATTAATAGTTGCTGTTTTCGCAAACAGTTAAAATCATATCAAATTAAAGTGATATGATTTATTTGGATGGCTATATCTGTTGGTAAATGGATATGAATATATCTTGTTTGCTTATATTAGAAAAAAAATGAAATCAGTTCCTAAGATTTTTTTTTAATTTATTTTTTATTTTCGTAAAGGGCAATAACTACGATCTCAGCATGGTAGCACCGAAAACACAAATAAAGTGACTCAATCGGAAATTTCTTTTTATACTAATTATAATTGAAATCATAATAATTGTAACAATTATAATTTGTTTATGTGTGAGTGCAATCAATAAATATAACATGGTAAAAAAAAATAATACAATGAAACAAAAATAAAAACATTTTTTTTTTATTTTATCATGTTCATAAAGGGCAATAACTTAGAAAAGCTTGTCTAGGTTTTAAAAAATACATACATGCAATATTATATAGACAAAAAATACAAACAGACAACAAAAAGAACAAACTTTTTTTTTCAATTTCATAAAGGGCAATAACTTAGATAAGGGTTCCTATGTTTAAATAAATAGGCTATCTAGACAAAAATATATTTGACATTTTTTTAAGACCAGAAAAACAAGAATCCAAATACATGTACATGTATATGCATTCCTGAATTAGCTGCAGAACTGTAGCTATCCGAAAAAATATATATTGATAGACCGGTCTATCAATATATATTTCTTCGGATAGCTACAGATCTGCAGCTATCCTGATATTTGTTTATTTTTTTTTTCAATCACAAGGACTTTATAAATAATAAAATTCGCTTAGTATCCATATTTCTTTGAACATACATGTATGTGCATGCAATCACAAATTAAATGTATACAATTTTTTCCAAACTACATTGCATGTTTAAATTTGAAAGATTTTGAAATAGAAACTAAATTAGGTCAATATTGAATGCTCTTTATAATAACATATCATTTACATGTAATCAATTGAATGTATTTTATTCAGAAAAGCATTTTAATTGCAATTGTTTATTTCAATATAAAAAATAAATATATATACTACCGTATAAGTGGAAATTTTAGCGAGACGCAAATTTAGCGTTTTATAACTAAAATCTGGTATTTTATTTTTAGCGAGAAATAATTTTAGCGATTTTAAAATGCTAACTAAATAAGCTATTACAAATAAAACGCAATTAATTTTTAGCGATATTCAATTTTAGCGATGTCATCACCCTCGCTAATATTGCCAAAATTAAATCCTCGCTAAAAATTCTACTTATACGGTATATAAGACGAACTGTAATTAAATTATCAAAATTGTTGTTTCAGATATGCCTGGTTCAGGTCGAAAAAACTATGGCTGTTTCAACTGCCCAAGAAGAGTACGACAGAAGGACAGGCATAGTATATCATCCAAAAACAGATCCATCATTGCCAAACTGACAGGGAGGACACCATCTGATAGTGATTTTCTGTGCAACAAATGTCGATGCATGTGCCATTATCATGCAAAGCAGAGGAAAACCTCCAAGTTAGCCAGGGCACAGATTCAAAACAGGCAAACACCAGAATCTACATCAGAAGTTAAGGCACCTCCATTCAGTCCGCCATCCGTCTTACTTCCTTTTCCCAGTACTTCAAGAGGACACGCTTCGTGCTGCATCTGCAAGCGCCCTGGTCCAAAGTTAGTTGTGATCCCAGTAGAAGTAAGACATCAGCTCTTCATTTCAAGGGAGATCATCATCCCTTCTGGAGCTCGCTGCTGTCCAAACCACCTACAACAAAAGATTGAAGAACTCAACCCTGTAACAGAAACCACCATGTTTAACAAAACAGGGATTACCAAACTTATCAAGTTTTTGCGGATGGAAGTTCTGAAAAAAGACAAAACTAGACTTGATTTTGACAGCAGTGAGAGCCTTAATACAACTGAGTATCAAAATCTGCTGGGAATAACAAAAGCTGCCTTTGAGGACTTGCTTACATATGTTGAGGGGAAAATAAAGTTAACTCCTGTCAGAACAGTGAGAACCAGCTTGGCCATTTTCTTAATGAAATTAAAAGGCGGGGAATCTAACAAAATTCTATCTACATTGTTTAACATTTCAAAATCCAGCATACACAGAGCAGTTACGTCAGTGAGGACAGCACTGATGAATGGAGGATTTGTCCGAGAAAATCTTGGATTTGGACATGTCACCAGAGAAGAGGTTATTCAAGAACACACTCGACCTCTGGCACAAACTATTCTTGGTGATGCTGTGTCCCAACAGGCAATACTTGTCCTTGATGGAACTTATATTTACATCAACAAAAGTGGAAATTTTAGGTTCCAGAGACAATCTTTCAGTCTCCACAAGGGAAGGCCGCTTGTGAAACCGATGATCATTGTATCAACAACCGGTTATTTTGTTTCAGTGTTAGGCCCCTACATTGCCAGGAACAATGATGCCACTATATTGAACCAAATAATGCACTGCAACATTGAAGATATTAGAAATTGGGTAAAGGAGGAGGATATATTTGTGGTCGATCGTAGGTTTAGGGATTCTCTTGATTACCTAGAAGAGATCGGGATCAAGGCCAAAATGCCATCATTCCTAGCCAAAGGAGACAAACAAATGTCAACAGAAAATGCTAACACCAGTCGATTGGTGACGAAGGTACATGTACTGGATGAACAATCAAATCTTTTACTTAATATATATTTTTAAAATGCATTCCATGTATCCCAATTGTGCTTAACTTAATAGAATCTCTTATTGTATTTCAAAATAAGTTACTGAGAAAAATATACCTTTAGAGTTACAGACTACAGTATTTTATACCATTTTACAGATACGGTGGGTTGTGGAGTCAGCCAATGCCAGAATCAAGCAATGGCATTATCTAGGGCACATTCTACCCTCTAGCCAAATACCTTACATAGGAGACTTTGTCAGGATTGTATGTGCCATTAGCAATAAGTAAGTATTTATTTGTATGATCAGTGATGATATACCGGTATACGGTACTTGAGTACCGGTATGCATGGAATAGTTCACAGTATATAACAAGACGTCTGTTAGCCAGTGCTCATTAATCAAGTTAATGCTTACTAGTAATATCCCCACTTTAATGTGGATTTGAAATGGACAGATGCACAGATAAATAGAAAGTTTATATTGAATTGTACAAAAATAAAATCTACCATAAAGGATGTTCAAATAAAGAGATTTTGAAAATAAATTGAATAAGTATTTTTGCTGATTTAAATATAGTTTCTTAATGCATTCTCAATGTATCAAATGTATAAAGTTACTTTCAGATACCTTAAACCTCTGGCTTCTGGTGACACTGAGGAGGATCAGGCTCTTGGTGCAAAGATGGTTTTTTTATCCAAGCAGGTGAATACCCTTCAACAACATGTAGAGGACAATCATCTTGACCGACGCTCTGTCTGTTGGAGTGAGATCAACGATCTGCCTGACTTCCCCCACCTGGACAAGGATCAACTCAGATCCCTCACTTGTGGAGTATACCAGCTTCGTCTATCCCCATGCTATGCGAAGGAGCATCTTGACGGCGACTGCAGTATCCAAGTACACAGAGAGGAGCCAGGCCTTCTACGTGTCAAACTACAAAGTAGACATGTATCAGCAAGAAGCTACTTGTTGTGGATTCAGTTTGATGCCGGTAACATCAAGGCGTGGTACTGTAAGTGCAGGGCTGGGGCTCGTGTTGTGGGTATGTGCTCACATGTTGCTGCAATCCTATGGTACTTAGGATATGCTCGCCATCACAAGGATGAGAGACTGGGTGTGCGTGACTGGGGGGAGTTTGTCGAGGATGCCACATTGGTGGATATCTCTGATAGTTCTAGTGACAGTGATGAACCAGAGGAGTAAAAGTGTGGTGGACATGGTTGTAACACCTGTAATGTTATTATAATTGTAACAGTACAGTTGAGTGATACACAGTTGAAGGGAGGCCAGGGCATATTGCTTTGCTGCTTTGGAAGGGAAGGGGAAAAATTGTCCTACAAACATCTCTTTTTTATCAAGCCAGTACATGTAAATAAATATATGTGTATATCTTTTTTATTTGCTAAAACTTATAGATTCATGAGAAGGTTGGAAAACAAGCCGCATGTTGAACTTTTGAGTATATGTCATGACTAGGATAAATAATTTGCATTACAGAAAATATGCATTGTACATAGCATATAATAATTAGGTATTGAACAACAGGTGTGAAATGTGTTTTGATATTAACAATTATAGTCTGATTTCTGGTTAGGAATTACCCGGGTTTACCTGCATTTACCTATCATGAAGAGAAACAATAAATGTAATTTCAAATTAATGTTATGGTATATGAATATTTATCGCAAAGAGTGAATTCATTGAATGTATTTTATATCAATTATTATATTAAAAAAAAAATAAATGCCATTTCTTAAAAAAACATTGAGCTGATAATTCAGAAATTGACATTGATTACTTTTTATGGTTAAATGTTAGTTATTTCTATCTTATTATAAAAGTAAAGATTCATAGATTGAAATAATTGAAAACTTATAATTCAAATAATATTCATTTAAGTTAGGCGAGAGAAATTTTATATTTCGTTTTACGGATCCGCCGACTCTATTTTTTCCGATTTGTAAAAAAAAAAAAAAAATGAAAAATGAAGAAAAAAAACGATCTTTGAATTCCGGAAAATTCAGGTTCAACCGAAGTGGGTTTTAAAACAACTCTTTACAATTTGAAATCAGCAAAACGTTTGAAAACATTAGCACTTTGTTTTGAAATTCAAGCGTCTTTAAACAGTGAATTTATCAAGATGGATAGCCATGCGTGGTTTGGACTGAAAGTGTTTAGTGGAGGAGATGTCATTTTAAACAAGTTTATTAAGTTGAATTGGAAAGACAATATCGGCATAGGTATCAATGATGAGCTTGAAAAGCTAGGTAAGGAGATGAAGATTGTTGATAAAGTAAACGGGAGTGAAAGAAGTCTGTTGTCAGCATTGGACATTACAAAATCGGTGACTTTGGATATTTCTATGCCATCTGAAATTTTAAAAGACATGGGAATTAAGTTCTTGTATGTATCACTCAAAGATGAAGATATCCAACCTAAAGCTACGTTCTCCAACAAGTCTGCCTTTGATGTATTGATGCAAATGGCCAAGAAATATGAATATTTGCCAAATAAGAGGTATGGAATTTTCTCTTGCACCAGCCACGTTTAAAATAAGAATTACTGATCTAGATTTTTTGATAATATATCTTTTTCAAATAAATTTCAGAAATGAAAATACCTCAAAGGATCGGCTGTTCAATGATTTAGTTGAATTTCTGAAAGAAATGCAAGTCGGTTTCCTGTCAAGCCAAATGTCCATGGCCAGTAGTTTTATATCCAGTTTGTGTGATATCTTGTGGTATCTAGACCCTTTTCACTACAAGTTTGCTGAAAGGGGATACAGTATTCCAGAAAAGCTTAACAAATTTACAGGATACAGAGACTGGAAAAAACAGCACAAGCAAGAACCTAGGGTATTGTCTTTTGTATTTTTGTACTCACATTTTAATTCAAATGTTAAAAATGAAATAAAATAAAATTGATCAAAATAAAAGAAGAAAAATTTTTGTTTCATCAAGTAGTTTGACTATATTAAATTTATATTTTAAAAAAATGAAAGGAATTCTTTCATATTTATTCAAAAATATTAAAATTATTTTATTCAATTTTTAAGATAACCTCAGAGGAGTTGAAGCTACAAGCAGAGTCACTGGGTTCTCTAATAATGCTGCCATGGATATTTAACCGGAAGTTTTCATCACTGCGAAACATTTTGGAGGAGTTACTACATTCTTTAGAAAAGTATTTGTCTTTCCTGCAAAAACAAACTGAATGCTCTAAGAAAACGCATACATCTACAGAACCTGTCAGGTCTCTTACTGATAACTGGTGTTTCAGCATCATTGAAATTACCACACATCAAGCAGATATGATGCTTTAATAACTCACCTGAATACCATTCCTGTGTACACACCTGTTGATTTGATAGACTTTGAACCAGCAGAGATTTGACAGACGAGCATGGATACAGGATCTGAAACTGCCATTTGCAGTTGGTTTATTCACATACCATCATGGAAACTATTTAGGAAATATGAACATTATTTGGAAACAGCCAGAGAAGTCTGAGAGAGAAAGTACATTAGATATATCCATAATCAATGATGTCAAAGCCAAAATTCCAAAATTTGCAACAAGAGCAATGTTTAAGGAGTTCCAAGAAAAGTATGCCAAGTCATGCAAAGAGAAGCCTGCCATTTTACGGTCTTTGTATCAATACCTAACAGGATACACTCTTACTCCATCAAATAAAGCTGAAGATGCTATTGATGAACGAGTTTCCAAATTTTTCTTGAATTCTGATGATCCGAAACTACTTGTAGACTTAAGAGCATTGAATGGACGTGTTAAAGATCCTAAATATGACCCATTTTGGGAGGAAATGCAAAAGTTTTTAGATGAAAAAAGTGTTGTCCATGAACGGCGTCAGAATGAAATTGCATACATGCCTTTTGCTATTTCTGTGCGTGACTTAAGGGAACAGGTATTAAGCAGAATGGCACCAAATTCAGTTGCCCCAACAACATCTTGGATCAGGCTGAATTTTTTTCCTGCAAATGGACTTGTCAATTCTGCAGCACAGTACACTGGAAAATTTAAGGTGAAGCATGCAGTACAACAGAGGCTATTAAGGGTGCACCATGAAGATGCAGACTTTGCCTATTACCAATATCTGCTGTTGAAATCTTTTGCTGTTAAGTGGAGAGATTTGTGTGTGATGCAATGCCTGGACGATAAGGCCATAGTGCCTGTTGGGGAACCTAACAAGCCAACCCCGGTAGTTAGTAGGGCCCACCACAGAGGGCTTCTAAACTCTAGCAAGTCCAATTTAACCACAGATCATGACTACCACATATGTGGCATTGTGCCCTCGGTATGTCTATGCGTCGACATCCCAGACGATAGCAGGGGATCTTTCTATCATGGTGATGTTCACATTACTCTCAAAGACAAAATCTTTCAACCATCCAGCCCTTTCCGCCATGCAGCAGAAACTGTCAAAATTGTCAGATCTTACTTCAGTCATGATGATGTCAATGCCAGCAAGCCAATCATTCTAAGATACACAGATGGTGGACCAGACCACAGACCAACATTTGCCTCAGTTCAGTTGGCTTCTATTTTAGAGTTTATAGCGTTAGATCTTGACTTATTCATTGCTTGTAGATGTGCTCCACACCAAAGCTACAACAACCCAGCTGAAAGGATGATGTCTCTTTTAAACCTTGGCCTGCAAAATGTTTCACTGACACGCAAGGAAATGGAGTGTGGATTTGAGATGAAAATGAAATCATTGTGTAGCATGAATGCAGTGAGAAACAATAAAAATGAGGCTCTGAAATCAGCATTGAAAGAGTCTGTGAATGCTCCGATTCAAATTGTCAAGGATATATTTTCCAGACTCAAAAGAACCCATGGAGATGTCTGTGCTCATGATGCTTGTAGTGATACTGAAATCACCCAGATTCTAGACATGGCACAACTTCTCTGCAAAGATTTACATGGTAAAGAAGTTCAGAAACTTAAAGACTTGTCCAAGTATCCCGAATTGAAACAGTTTGTGCAGCGTCACTGTAGGAAACGTCAATATAGCTTTCAGGTACATGTATTTACTATATAGCAATTTTAATATTAAAAATTATATATGCTTCAAGTTTACATTGTAAAGTTGAATATTAAAAGACTGAATTTATTGTATCATAATAATTTAACATATAGTACCAATGTCTTCTTTAATAGGTGAAGAAATGTAGTCTACAAGATGTGGATAGCTGCTCCTATTGCTGCTTAAACCCTCCAAGATTAGAGGAGTCCTTATACAGAGAGTTACATTTCTTACCTGACCCTGTCTTGGAAACGGAGAATACAAATCATTTGAAGCAGTACATGGCACAGAAACAGATGACAATGCAAGACCAAGCCTTAAAGTATCCAAAGAGGCAATGGAACGGGACATGGAAAATAAATCACTTTTTGTTGCAGGTTTGACTGTAGATATGTATTCAAAAAATGAAATACTTTCTTATATTAAATTATAAATATTCTTATTAAAAATTGATTATTTTCTAGGTGTATTTATTTCTGATATTTTATTTTGAACAGGAGATGAAAAGGTAATATTTTACACTAGTGTATGTGGTGGTTTCTTGTAGTGTAAATCTAACAGCTTTTTGTCTTCCATGTGTGTACTTATACTTCTATTGAATCATTTATAATATGCACATAAATCATTCACTATTCTTCTTCCTCTGTGGTATTCCTTTGTCTCCTTTTCATAACAGTCTATAAAATTATCATTCTTTTCCGTTGTATACTTTAATCACAAATTTAAGCTAGATTTGTGCACCCATTTATTAAAATGTTTGGAAAATATCTTAAGATTTATATACCGTATATGTATATACCAAACCATATTTAATTGCAGGAAAAGTACGTGGATTTGTATCCTGCCATGAATGTGGTAAGAGGAGGGTCGTTTACAGTGCAAGCCTTTTGACAGCACAGGAGCAGAGAGCAGAGAGCTGTTTTGAGAGTTGAGGAAGAAATGCTTTTTGTCTGCGGAAGCCCTTTATTCCCAGGGGGAGAATATCAGGACAGGATAGTTGTTCGTGCTTCCCTGATATGTAGAGCTTACATTGAAACCCAGTACTATTCAGGTGTGAAGTCATTGAATTTATTCTAATACCTGTAAATTTCAGAATGATATTATATGTATTATTAAATTGAACATATGAACATTGTTATACCTATAAAAAACTATA